AATGTCAGCAGACAGCAAGAAGCCTCCCAGATCTCCAGATGCATTTGAGATATCAAAAAAGTACTCCAGAGTGTTGTGCAGCATGGGGGTGAGTAGAAAATGAAGGCTAATCATGTTTTGGGTGTACTATTCCTTTAAGGATTGTTCTAAACAAAGAAGCAGCCCAGAGGCTCATGGTACCTCTAGATGAGCTGCAGAGATCCACAGCTCATGTGGGATAATCCATTGACAGGAGAACTAGTGGTGCACCCCATAAAACCAGCCTTTATGAAAGAGTTGCTAGATTAACACTGTAGGGAAGACAAAATCTCCCTTATAATGTTTTGCACAGCTCATTTTTAAATATAAAGCACGAGTACACAACTACGCTAACATCATATGTGAGCATCTGATGGTAGACCAGCACCTTAGATTTGCGGGTGATATTATGCTTAGATTTTTGTACCCAACATGAAATTGGAAACATGCTGTGATCTTTTTCTGTAATTCCAGGCCCTCCCCTTGTATCTCAGAAAACTGCACCTTACACAGGAAGCAGCAGCAGCAACCTCCACCGTCACCTCCCACATCCCTCCCTGCTTCCACAACAGCTGGTGAAACTGGAAGCTCCTCTCCATCCCATGAACATAAAGAGAAACGTGTTCACTTTGACCTGGACACGCTACACAGCTACCGCCTGCGCACACACACAGCATCGGTGCGTGGCAGGCCAGGCATGGTCGGCCGCCCTGGTCTTGGTCTTGGAGGGTTTGGGTTCGGCAGCTTTACCTCTCCTCCTCAGATTAATCTCCACGCCAATGGAGGTCCAGTATCGACCCTAGCTTCGACAGGTTTGCTGCTTTCTCCCCTAGGAAACAGGGCTACCCAGACAAGCCTGTGGGAGGGGGAACTCCAGGAGCTTCAAGTGAAGATCGAAACCTTCCGCAACCAGCTCAGAGAAGCTCTGGCTCGAAGAGCTGAGATCCAGACCAGCTTGGAAAGAGAAAGGAGTGGACTGGGGCGCAGGGAAACCAGCCTGGAAAGAGAAAGAGACAGGCAGAAGGTACAGACTATTCCTACAGACAGAAGTAGTTCTACTCAGTCCAGACTTCCTGAAAGAGACAGGACCAGTCAACTGCAAACCCTGAACAATCAGCAGCTAGGGAGGCCTAACCAAACAGCTGCAGCTGCTACTGCTGGACTGGGAAGAAGCAGCCAGTTAAACACTGTGAACAGTTTGGAGAGAGGAAGAGCCACTCAATCACGCCCCAGTGTTACTGTGACAGGAGAAAGGACTGTCCAGTCACGCACTTCTACTAGTTTGGAGCGAAGTCAAGTCAACCAACAAGGTGCTGGAAACATAACTGTCCAAACGAGGAACACTTCTAGCCTTGACAGACAGAAGGCCAACCTTTCACGCACTCTGAACACTTTGGAGAGGACAAAAGCCAACCAGTCAAGTGTAAACACCGGAACCTGATTGGTTATCTGAAGCCATTTGGTGTGCAGGAATTAGAACTAGTCAGGTGCTGTTATCATAGCTGCGGGAAGAAAGGTTGGAATAGGTTCTAGTTATTTTACTTTTTTGCCATCTAGTACCTTTATAGCTTATTTTTTTCCTACTTTACCTTTTCAAGTATAAAAGGAACCATTGCCACATGATGATTAATACTGATCTAGAGTCTGACCTGGAGGATATCTGTATCAGAAACACCAACCAAGATTTAATTCACATTCTGAATTAGGAAAATAAAAGTCCGGTAGAAAGATTTCAGAGCAAATATTTTGGTTTGGTTGGGAAACCAACAGTGGAGTTGATCTCCAAGATCAGGTATCCCATACCATATCCCTTATTTTCTCATATCTAAATGATTTAATCATTAAACTTAATTTTAAGATAAACATTTGACTTCTTTATTGAGGATAAACTGTCCGAACTGACCCAGTTTTATGTAAAATTATACTGTAATCCCCCACACAAACCTGTTTAATAATAAAGAAAAAGAATGGAAATATTCTTTATTTGTCCTTATAAGTGAGGAAATTGTATCAGCAGCACCATAACACACAAATAAAATGATTATAGATAGAACTAAAAAAATATAGATAAACTTGAAATAAAGCAGAACACACTGAATGTGGTTTCAACTGCAAATAATCCCATTAACATTAATATTGACTGCCTATCAAATCAAGCAATCCCTTAAAGGTAATCTCTCTGACAAAATAAAATTGGCTAAAAGATCTCAAATACAGAAACAATCCCAAATATAAATTAAACTTGAAAAACAGAGTCATTAATAAATAGTTTTGTTTTGTTTGTTTTTTAATGGGTTTACAAAGCAATTTCTGATGCTTTAGGACTCCAATAAACCACTGTGGGAGCCATGGTCTACCAGCAGAGACAACATAGATCCGTATCAAACCTTCCTATGAATGTCTGGCCTACCTGAATAACCCCAAGAACATGTTTGCAATTCATCCAAGAGGTTAAAAAAAACAACCCAGAACATCTAAAGCTCTGCCTCGCTTTCCCCTTTTAACTTCAGTGTTTTATGATTTAGCAGCAGATAGAGGCTAGGCAAAATCAGACACGTTGTGAAATGTTTTGAGGGGCCTAGTCAAAGTACAGACATAAATTCAAGTGAATTACTGCAGCACCACCCTTAACAGGCCATTCATGCCCATAATCTCCTATATGCTACTTGCTACAGAATGATGGAAGGAACCAAACCAGCATCAACCCCTCCAAAGGAGCATTAAACTTGAAACGCCACAGTTGTGGCTAATTTAGAAACAGCTGTGACTACAATCCCTCCATAGCAATTTGAATTAATTTAATTTTCCAGATGAGATAAAATTGGTTTGGATGGCATTCTTCTTTTAATAAGTGAGATTATTATCTGTCACCTTCTGTCCTATGATGGACTAATGATTTATCCAGAGAGTGCTCTGCCTTTATATTAGATTACTGTAAAGATAGGCCCCCAGACTAAGTTGTTAAGGAATGTTTTTCTACAACACTTTAATTGCCAAAAGAACAAACAGATATACATAGACTTAAATAGCTAGATAAATGGAAATGAGAAGTAAAAAAGGGCAATACAATGGGTCTAAAGTGGGAGTTAAAATAGGGATGACCTGATGTAAGCTTGTTTGTATTGATTATGTTGTTGAGGAGTTAAATGATGAGGCAAGAAATGTTGATGAAACTTTAAAATTTACAGAGCAATAAAATCAAAAGTGTAAGAAAAATAACAATTATTGCAATGATATCTTAAACATCAAGATCAAAGAGATTAGAACTGGGGGTAGAAAATAATCAGACCTTCTGTGGTAGATTGATTAACCATATCTGGTTAAAACAAAGATGGCCTCAGGAAACTACACTGACAACCAGTTGGAAAGGGAAGAAATCACTTAAAATGTAATTGAAAAGGGTACTAATTCAATTTCAGATTTGAAGTACAACTAAATGCAGAACAACAACCTGGTACCAGAGTTAGTCATAAACGAGCTATAAAAGTGGAGTTACACAGACTGACAATACTTTAATTTAAATTGACTGTCAACATTTGTTGTTTGTTTTAGCATAACTGGTGGATGTCAAATCTGTTGGTCATTGGAAAAACATAAATATGTTTTGTTTTCCTTTATGTGGTAGTTATGCCTTCATTTAATGTCTGATTTTTTTTTTTTTTTTCAATTCACCTTGCTCCCTTTTTTGGTGTCTTTGTTTTTAGACCAATTGAAATCAAGGATCTCAAAGAGGTGAGTTTTCAACTTATTAAACCAACACATTACCAGTATTTTAAAATATAAATGCAAAATACAGTATCTGGGGGGAAAAAAGATCCAAGGCAAACAAAGACTACAGTCTGGGTACTATAAAAACTGCCCAAAAAAAAAAAAAAAAACCCAAATATTATCCGATCCGATTTCTTTCTTTTTATGTGCGACAGTAGGAATATGATATGAATGAATGAAGGTTTTTACTATTTTCACCTTTCAGTTTGTACTATATATATATATATAT